TTTGTCTCCCAGGTCTGTCACTGCTGGTGTCCGCCCTTTTCCGCTGGCCATGTAGCATCTCCCAGGTCTGTCACTGCTGGTGTCCGCCCTTTTCCGCTGTCTCCCTTCTTGTTGGTCACTGTGTCCGCCTTGTCTCCCTTCATTCTTTCTTTGTTTCTGGTCTTGTCTCCGATTCTTGTGGGTCATTGTGTCCGTCTTGTCTCCCTTCTGTTTCCTTTTGTCTCCCTTCTTGTCTCTCTTCTTGCTCATCATTGTGTCCGTCTTGTCTCCCTTCTGTTATCTTTTGTCTTGTCTCCTTTTTGTCTCCCTTTGTCTCCGGTCTTGTCTACCTTCTTGTTTCCCTTTTTGTTGGTCATTGTGTCCGTCTGCCTTCTTGTCTCCCTTCTTGTGGGTCATTGTGTCCGCATGTCTCCCTTTGCCTCCGGTCTTGTCTCCCTTCTGTTTCCTTTTGTCTCCCTCCTTGTTGGTCATTGTGTCCGCCTTGTCTTCCTTCTGTTTCTTTTTGTCTCTGGTCTTGTCCCCCTTGTTGTTGGTCACTGTGTCCGTTTTGTCTCCCTTCTTGTTGGTCCTGTCCGCCTTGTTTCCCTTCTTGTCTCCCTTTGTCTCCTTTTTGTTTCCCTCCTTGTTGGTCATTGTGTCAGTCTTGTGTCCCTTCTGTTTCCTGTCCGTTTTGTCTCCCTTCTGTTTCCTTTTGTCTCCCTTCTTGTCTCCCTTGTTGTCCCCCTTCTTGTTGGTCATTGTGTCCGTCTTGTCTTCCTTCTTTCCTTTACATTTGCCTCCTTTCTCCCCCCTCTCGCTTGCAACCCGTCACATTTGTCTCCCAGCTGCTCTGCCCTGCAATATTACATTTGTCTCCCCAGCTCTGGGCTACGTGTCGCTTGCAATCCTTTACATTGTCATTTGTCTCCCGTGTCTCCCAGCTCTGGACTGCTGTGTCCGCCTCTGCCTTGCTCCGTAGCCATTGGCTCAAGCGACAAATTCCGAGCAGATCGAAGGTAAGAAGGAGTGCAGTAAAAGCTTACTCTGAGAAAAATCCGAGTCTTCAAGAAAGAGCCAAGCCGAAGCTCTCTAGTTCTTAATGGCTGAGCGCTCCTTCACAGAGTACAGTTTAGAGCTAGCCAAAAGAATCCAGACCGCGGCAAAGGAGAGGTCTGGTCCCTTCGCCGATGAAAAACATGCGGTCCCGGTCTGCTGCTTCCACTGCATACCGTCTTCTGGCCCGAATCTCCCAGCTTGGTGCTCTCTCACCCTTAGGCGATCTGACATTCGTCAGACTCCCACCGGGAGACAGTTAGAGGTTGACGCCGGAGTTGGCCGCTGCCCCTACTTGCAGTTGATCAAAGTTCGCCTGGTCGCTTTGCCATGCCTCGTCAAGCAATATGCAAACGGGAGCATAGAATAAACATCCCTGAATGTCTGTTGTAATGGCCTGTGTAAGCAGGCCTCCTGACTAAGTGCTCTCAATGCTGCCTGAAATAAGGCAACACCACACTTCAGATTGCTCACCGTGAGGCGCATTGGAAAATTCATTGCCCACTAGACGTCTCACTTAGGTCTCACCCTTTGTTTCACCCTTGCATGACGAAACTGAGTCTCCTTGCTTTCCTGGTTTTTCTGGTCTTTTTGTTTGGTTTTGTTTTTGGTTTGTTTGTTTTGTTTGTTTTCGCTCCTGTTGCCCTTCATGGCAGGAGACTCATTCACAAAACAGCACAAGCTGACCTGTGCATTTCCTGCACGTACGGCGGCTCCACTCGTGCAAAAAAATGTGTCCGCCTCTGCCTTGCAATCCTTTATATTTGTCTCGCAGTGCTGGGCTGCTGTATCCGCCTCTGCCTCTGCAATCCTCAATTTTACATTTGTCTCCCAGCTCTGACTGCTGTGTCCGCCTCTGCCTTGCAATCCTGTACATGTGTCCTTGCAAGCCTTTGCATTTGTCTCCCAGCTCTAGCCTGCTGTGTCCGCCCCTGCCTTGCAATCCTTTATATTTGTCTCGCAGTGCTGGGCTGCATGTCGCTTGCAATCCTTTACAGTTGTCTCCCTGTGTCTACATTTGTCTCCGAGCTCTGGACTGATGTGGCCGCCTCTGCCTTGCAATCCTTTGTCTCCCAGCTCTGGACGTCGCAAACTCTAGTTGCAGAGGGCTCCGATATTGAAAAACACAAACTGTTTGGGGTCTACGGTGGTGTCATTTTTAGCAGTGAATAGACAGAAGGATGCATGTGCAGATTATATATATTTATATATCCAATTTTTCCTTGCCGGGCGCCAGATCGTTGAAACTTAAAAAGGACTACCTGGACCAGACACTGCAAGTACCTAGAAAATGGGACATGGCCCTATCAAAACAGGTACTTGTAACATTATCTGATGTACTTTGAGACTCCAGGTACCTTTACCCAATTAACACAACAGCAACACCTATTTTATCAATGATTAGGACATTGATGGAACGTGTGGAATCTATTTTCCAGGACGTACCACTTGAGGGATACTTGTGGTACAGTGTGTACAAGAAAATGGGACTCCTCGACTCCTCAACATGTTCATGTTTAGGATCTACTATCCATTGATTTCCTGGGTTGAATCCAACAACCATTGTTTCACTAAGGATTTGGACTCTAAGGCCAGCTCAACTATGTTTAAAGCGGTCTAGGAAGGCTAGGCAGCCTGGATGCGTTTCAATTCAAGACTTGGTCCTTCGTCCCCAGTCTCGCGTGGTGGATCTCACATGGTAAATACAGTATACGGTACGTCGGTTTCTTTGTTTTTTTGAGGAACCTTTATAAGTAAGGAGGGAAAATAAGGCATGAAGGTTCCCCGCCCTCCCACACACAAAAACAGATATACACCAGCACTCCTTTGGAGGCTTTTGCAGACTGAAAAATCGCAGGTGGTGACCTGTGAAGTCGGGTCCTGGAATACACCGATCTATTCAACGAATCTATCTTCCCTGAGGGTGTTGAGATTCTCCACCCCTTTGGCCGCTCGCAGGAGCCCAGCAGTTCCGCGAGAGTTTCCAGGAGCGGAAGACTGGCCGTTCTGCGGCCGCAGTCCGCGTGGTGTGGTGCGCCACACGCGCGGTGTCTGAATTCTGGATGGATTCGGAGACTTTAGGGAACAGTTGTGGATGGAGCCAGGTATAGTCAGGTACCCTATAGGGCTCCAGTCGTACCGAACCTGAGGTTCGGTGGGACGACCGGGGCCCGGGTGCCAGTGTCGGGTCCAGTCATACCGAACCTGAGGAGGTAACCTTCGGGTCGGTGTAGGGGTATGGAACCTCCTTAAAGTCACTGTACCGAGCGTGGCATGGAGCATGGGGAATGGGGAAAAGCGGGGCGTGGGGTTCCTTTCGTTTCCTAAACAGAGACGAGAGGGGAACACCTGACATGACAGGGACCAATGAAGTGTTCAGATCTCAATCAACCGCCTGAAACCTGTTCAAGCAATATCAACGGAAACCCCTTCCACCAGAAACATTTGCTGATTTGTGGTGATCAGAAACCTCTTCAACCTCGAGACCCTTCACTCTTTGTTGCAAGGCTCTGGAATGTTCGCTGTTTTGAAAGGACATAAACCTAGTCAGAGCAGGGATTTACCATATTTGACTTTCCTCCGCCTCAAGTTTCGAGATTGACATAGATTGACAGTTGACATCGTCACCGCGCACCAATCGACATATATGCTGACCAGAACGTGCACACCAACTCATCATGAATCATGAATCATTGATATATCATTGTGTGTCTTCTTTTAGACAGTGCATGTTCCTTGTTTTTTTCATGTTCAAGCACGTGTTTCCCCTCTGTTTTCCCAGATCCCCTTAGCCTTCAGCATCCCTAAGCCGCTTCGGCAGGACCTGCTGCCTGAGGCCTGCGAAGGCTTTGGCCGTCAGTGGCTGAGGCGATTGGAGTTGCCCTTGAGGGAGCCCATGGAGCGACGCGTGCGGAGTGCCGGGGCCTCAAGAGAGGGGGATCCCCGAGAGTCAGTGGAAAAACATGCAATAAATGATTTAACCCTATGGATCCACTGCCACCGAACCTCAGGTTCGGTACGACTGGGCCCTGCAAGCCTACATAAATAGTCGCCAATCACCGTACCTGAGAAGGTACTTGGATCTCTTAGGGTAATACAGTATACCCAGACAATCCATGGGACTGCCATACATGCCGATCAGTTTGGGGTGGTTGAAAGGGGGTTCATTGATCGGCAGTCCTTTGGCATACATGGAGTGTTTGGGATAGGACTCATTCTGTTTGAGGTCCTTTTCGTTTTAAGTGGTAGGGTTAGTAGGGTTGGCCCTTATCTTCCCAAAATGAATGGATGGTTGGGTAGGGACATTTTGGGATTTGAAACATACAGGGGTAACTCCTGATCTTGATGCCATTTTGGCTCAAGATCAGGGCAGGGATTTGTTTTTCGCCATGCCGGCGATTCGCCGCACGTCGCTCACGGTGTGGCAACCGGGGGCGCGGCGGTGGCGGCGCGGGCACAGGGGGAGCAATCCCTGCGAGTTGTCGGTGGAGGACCGACGAGCTGATCTGGGGGCCAGGTCAGCCTACATCGTGTCGATTTGGGACACGGTTGAGCGCCGGCCGGACGTGCAGGCTGACCATTGCCGCTGCTGTGGCGTATTTACAGCCTCTTGGTGCGAGGGCTGCTATTTCCGCCGGCCTGAGAGCTTTGGGGCGGTGTGCGCTGAGTGTGATCACCTGCACTTGGTCTGTGATCAGTGCAGGTTTGATCACATCTCTTGGGAGCAAGGTCATGCCGCGTACATCGAAGAAGGAGGCCAAGACACCGAGGACCAGGTCGAGATCACCGGGTGGGGTGACAGGGCCAATTCACCCCATTTCGAAGCTACCTCCAGCCAGGTCTCCATTGAGGAGGTCGCGCAGATCCTCGGAATCTCAGCCCAGCAGGCCAGAGACCTCATCAAAGAGCAGCTGTCCGGTACCTCCCAAGCAGCCTCCAGTGCTTCCACCGAGGCAGGCAATTCCTAGGCAGCCCATGCCCCCGCCTGGACCTCCTCCACTGCGGCTGCGGAGGCCGCGGTCGCCTTCTGTGTCGCCTGGGCGCGGCCGCATTCCGGTTGTGACTGTGCGCCAACCGGACCAGGCCATGGAGGCCGATTTGCTGGAGTTGGTTGCCGAGCGCTCGGATGAGTTGGTACAGCTATTTTGCCACCAGGGCGTCCAGACCTGTCAGGACGTGGTTGGCATTTGGTCCCATGGCGGCGAGTTGGTGACGGAGCTTGAGCACATCCAAGGCCCCCTGGACGCCGAAGAAGCATTCCAGGTTAGCGCCTTATGGACGCTTGCCGCTCGCCGGGCCCAAGATCACCACAGGCGCGTTGCCAGAGCGGTGATCGGGAACCGTGTTTCGGTCGTGGAGACCACGTCAATGGTGGTGGCACCTCAAGGCACAGGTCCCAAGGGACACGTTCGTCAGCTGCTGGAGACTGGGTTCCCAGGGCGACCACCAATGCTACTTGCAGCTGTGGCAGCCGATCCCCACACCAAGGCTGAAGCCAAGAGGGCCACCAAAACTCAGGCCCTCTTTGACCTGTTGCTGAGCGATTTTCTCAACATCGCCGAGCTGGGGGTGACCTGGGAAGAGTTGAGCGATCCCGTACGGCTGCAGCAGTTCAAGGATCAGATTACGCAGTCCACCGGACGCCTCACCGAGGCGCGGATTGGCGCCCTGCTGGCGGCTTTGAGGCGATGGCAGCGGTACGCCTCTGAGAAGGCTTTCGCCGTTGCCCAGCCAACACCGCTCCAGTTGGGTGAATTCTTTCGCGCCGTGGCCCAGGGCGGCCCTACAGCAGCATCATCGATGTTCCAGGCCTTGAAGTGGTTCAGGGTTACCTTTGGCCTCAACTTCAATACAGATCATTGGCTTACCCAACCCTTCAGGCTGCTCCCACCTGATCATCGGGTCCAACAGAGGACCGAACTACAGCCCTGGGAGCTGGTGAACCTGTTATTGATGATGAAGAAAGCATCAGGTACCCACTTGCTGATTTTGACATTTTTTGTCTGGGCAGCTATTTCGTGTGTACGCTTTGAACATTTTCAAAGGTCACATTACATTGAGAGCCACCCCCAGTGCCTGATCTTCGAGTGCTCCCAAGGCAAAGCTCGACGACGTGGAGCACGCCCTCCTTACTCGTGGGCTATGCCAGAACTGGAGTTCCAAGGGCTCAGCATCCACCGGATTGTGAGGGACTTCGTGACCATGGAGCTGAACCCCCAGTTGAATTTCCTGTGGCCGGCCCTCCAACTCAGCTCGGATGATCTCTGGGAGGTCACCGAGGGCACGGCATGGCTGGTGAACAGGAAGATGTCGCGGGGTCGCTTTCTGGAACTCCTTCGTGGCGCGCTCATCACCATGCAGGTGGATCATGCCCAGGCCCGGGGAGCTGGCTACAATAGACTGCGCCGGTTTCTGCCCACCATGGGCCTGGTGTGTGGCTTGCAGCCATCAAACCAGCAGGCCATTGGAAACTGGCAGGAGGTCCCCAGTGCCGGAGGCCCCGAACCAGTTCGTAAGAGCAAAGCAGTATGGTCAATGGGCCTTCACTACGCTGGACAGAAGGTGTTGCACTCCGCTGCCGTCAAGCGGGCGTTGGTTCAGAGGTTCCTCCACCTACTTCGGCGCAAGCTCCCGGAACTGGCCCTCAATGCAGATGGTCTCGTGGCCCGTGATGCCTGGACCTGGCCCGAGTTAGCCCAGATGAACGAGAGCTTTGGACCATTGGAGGCAGCATTGATGATGCCTGAGGTCCAGCCCCCATCAGAGACACCGCCCTTGGAAGCCTCGGGGAGTGCCTTCCCTGTGGCAGGCCCAGCAGACGAGGTTAAGACGGAGGAGGTAGACAACGTCACAACCCCGGTGGTGGAAGCTGATCCGGCGGCCCAGTCGGTTTCTTCGTCTACTACCTCCTCGTCCGCGTCGGACTGTTCGGCTATGGGCAGCGACTTGGAGGGGGTCCTGGCAGAGGAGGCGGCTATCACAGAAGCCAAGTGGTTCGTCCAAAGCCGTCGAGTTCACATTGTCAGTGGCGTGGTTGATGAGCGCCAGCTGCCGTATTGCCGGGATTCACCTTTCGCCCAAGACCCCAAGAGCCAGGGCGAGGGCTTCGGATTGGTTGTTCGGAGCCAGTTTTGCCAACGATGCCTGGCACGCATGCCACGAGGCCTCTATGCCTCCCTGGCTGACCAGTGCGGATGGTTGCACTGAGTGTATAAAAAGCCGAGGGGCCAGAGCCTGTGGGGGTGCTGGGTCGGGGTCGACGTGCGTCTAGGTGGGGTTCGGTTTTGACTTAGTCACCGACCGTTCCGACGTCGTTTATCCCAGTCGGTCGTGTTGGTTGGTTCCCCTACCCCCTTTCTCTTTCCCCCCTTGGGGCTGGCTTGAAGGGGGCACCTTCGGTCTGTGACCTAGTTTGGCCTCCCCGCGGATGCCACCGGAATGGGGAGGGTGTCGGGGCGTGGTCATTCGTTCGGACGGACAGGGTGGTAGGTCCGCGACCTCCCCCTAGGAGTTTGCTTTGTCGCAACCCAGCTCCGGGCTCACAAGGATCGTAGCTAGTTCACTCAAGCTTTCGTTTGTGGTGCCCCTACGACCATGAGCAGTTCAAGGCGCATTGATACATATCAGGATGACCGTGGATTGACAACCTGCTTCGCCGGGGCCAACATCCTGGAGGAGTGGAAGAGTGAGTTAGTCCACATCCACAAGTGGGAAACCTTGGAAGATTTTGTCTACTACTTCAATGAGTCTTCCATGGAAACATCATTGGATCAGGTACTCCAGCCCACCAAGATGAAGGACAACAGGTTGTTGCGGGCGCGGCTTAAAGCCGCCCATGCAGCTGGCCTGGAGGCCATTCGTGCAGCCGCTGCAGAAGCAAAACAGCCAGAGGCAGTTGATGAGACACTCCCCGAATCGACAATGCAACAACTTCACAAGGACTTTGCCACCAAGTATGGCGTGGTTTTGGATGCGTTCCTGGAACCATCAGACGCCCTTCGGTCCCGTGTTTATAGGGAATTCCGCAAGAGGACGATGTCGGTCATCAGTGTGGCAAAAGTCCGATCTATCCTCCACCAGTCGGCGCCCAAGCAACAAGAATCAGTCCGCCTGGGTGCGGGCGTTCAGCTTGAGTTTGCAGCCGATGACCATCGTATCGTTCGCACCGTGGTGGAGTACTACTTTTCACTACGCACTTTGGCTTATGCCTGGGCGTGGGGAGGTTTGTACAAGGTGTCAGACTTCGATGGCAATGAGAAGGTCTTCATGCCCCTTACCCCAGCTATGTCATATGCAGATCAAGCCCTACAATTCACCATGGAATTCGGGCAGGGCAGTCTACTGTGGTTGGAGCGGAATGACATCAACACACGCTCCAAGATGGCTTCCCTCATCCGCCGTGGCTACACAGGGCAATCTGCGCTGGAGGAGGCATTACGCCAAACCCATATTGACTGGCGCGCCCCGGGGGTCCAGCCAACCTTGCCTGAGGCAGGTTCCTCCCCAAAACGGCGCGTGACGGAGAACGACCAGCCACAAGAGAAGGGTCCTGCCAAGGAGCGGCGCATGGTTAAGACGGACAAATGGCCCACTATCTCTATGTTGAAAGGGGGCCAGAAGATTTGCAAGCCATTCAATGATGGGCGTGGTTGCACCAAGGCGGGCTGCAAAGATCTGCATCAGTGCGATGTCAAGCTGAGCTCAGGGAAAGCCTGCCTGGCCAGCCACACCCGGCTTCAGCATGAATAGGGACAGCGCCCCCCGAGGGTCGGGGAACCCCGGGGGGGCCCAGGCGAGGTGGCCTTGAATGACCCACTTCAGGCTAGTTCGGCATCTTCTGAGGCCCACCGCTGCGTTCTCCTACGACCTGACGGCCACAGTGGCCACACCCCGATGGCTGACCGCCTGTACGGAGCA